TCTGGGGGTCTCCGGTTCCTGTGGTTGACAGGGTTAGTGCTCCGTCGTTGCGGCGGTGTTTGTGGCCATTGGGCACCTGCTGGAGAGTTCTCTCTAGAGAGGGTCAAGCTCGCGGTGTGGGGTCGGTCTGTGGCCTGGTGGGGTGCGTGGTTCTGTGTCGGTGGTGCTGGTGCCGTGTCCGGTCAGTGCTCCCGCTGTGTCTGTGGCTTGTAGTCTAGCTGTGTGCGGCGTCAGGCCTGGGTATCTCTGCGTGTGGCTGCAGAGTATTTCTGTCTCTGGCCGGTAGGTTGCGGTATGCTGCTTGTGATGTTGCAATGCCTGAGGCAGCTGGGGGAGGCTCAGGTAGTCGTGGTAGGCCCAGGTGGTCCAGGAGGGCAGGGATTTCCGCGGCATGTGAGATAGAGTGGAACCTGCCCTCCCTGCAGACGATGAGCTTGAAAGGGTGGCCCCAAGCGTACCTGAGGCCGTGCTGAGTGAGGTGCTGAGTGAGGGGGCGCAGGTCCCGTCGTCTTTTCAGGGTGGTCGGCGCCAGATCCTGGAATAGCTGGACCTGGACGCCTTCCACCTCTATGGGAGTCTCTCTGGCTGCCTTCATAATGCGCGCCTTTATATGGTAGAAGTGGAGTCGCACTATCACGTCCCTTGGGGTGGCGGTGTTGGTGCTGGGGGCTCTCAGCGCCCGGTGTGCCCGGTCCATGAGCAGGTCGGCGGTGGAGGCTTCTGGCAGGAGGTGCTGAAACACTTCTGTGAGGGTGGCAGTTAGCAGCTCCGTGGATATGGTCTCCGGTATGCCCCTCACCCTAATATTATTCCTTCTGGTCCTATTGTTGAGGTCCTCATTGGAGTCCTCCAGGGAGCGCAGTTGCTCGCGGAGGTCTTGTAGCTCCCCGCCATGTGCCTGCACGACCTCCATTGCCTTTTGATTCAGCGGCCTGCGTGCGGACTTCAGGTCCGCCATCCCCTCCATGATCGGGCCCAGCTTCTTGTCCAGCTCTTCCGCGACCGATTTGTGGAAGTTTTCGAGGAACCCTCTCCTGTCCCGCCGGGTTAGTGGAGCTTCCACCCGGTCCGGGACCGTGTGGCTGCTGATCTCGGAGTCAGAGTCTGATGGCGAGTTTGCTGAAGATGGCGCCTGGGCCTTCGCGGCCTTTTGCTGGAAGATTGGTGCGACCGCGGAGTTTCGTGTTTTCTTGCCGCCGCCCATGGAGGGGTTGAGTGAGGGCATTGGGGTGGGTGTCCGGGGGTTTTGGGGTTATCAGGGGGCTCGGGTGCTCTTGATGGCTAGTGATTACGGCTAGGCCTTGGCAGAGCTTGGGAATTATGCGGCCATGTCCCTGCTCAGTCAGGCTCCACCTCCCTCAGACTATTTGTTGTTTTGCCTTCAGTAATCGTTTACTTGGTCTCATGGACTTTTATTTGGACTAGTGCTGGCCCTTTAAAGCAGTGTATGGACATATTGAAACTTTTGGGACACTTTTTCTGCCCCTTTGAATCCAGAGGAAGGTGTGCCTCTTCCCCTTCCCCTTCCCCTGTCCTATTGTTCTCCAGCAGGGCGTTGTCCCAGGGACACTGCCAAACCAGTTGGAACTGGTTCCTCCTCGGTCAAAATATGATCCACCTATCTCCTGAACCAGTTCCAGTGCCCCACAAGGTCCATGTAGGTGGTAACCTTGCTGGGAAAGTTGTATATAAGCAGGAATAAACGCTCATTGGAGTAAGTTCTTCTTCACCCTTCAAAACGTAGTTGTGTTTCGTTGTTGAAAGGGAATTTGCAGCTTAATCACTAGCTCTTTTCAGAGCTCTGTCTCTCTATTGCTCCAGGGATCCAGTGGATGGGACTTCACCTCTCCCCTACAGCCCAGCATCTTGCCTGGAGGAAGGACGTCGCCAACAGTAAATACCCCTCTCTACCCTGTGTAGCCGTTACACTGGTGGCAGTGGTGGGATGGTCCTTTCATCGACAGAGCAAGCGCTGAATGGAGCATCAGTATGCCAAACTGAAAAGACCAACACTGAAGGATCTGCTGGAGAGCCGAGGGCGCAGTGCCAGTAATAACCCCAGGAGAGTGCTGATCGCTGACCTGCTAGAGCTGGACGAGATGGATCGGTCCATGGAAATCACTGAGAGGAGTCTCCTGAATTGTGAGGAGGGTGACATCCTCCTCCTCGTCCAGAGTTGGCTAGCACTGTACCAAAATCCGTCCAAGGCACGGATTGACCGGACCATCCTGAAGATCAAGGAGGAGTTTGAAAAGAGGAGTACAACCTACAGATGATAAGGGCCCAACAGCCTGTTGTACCCACAGAAAAGAGCTGCGGATTCCCACATGGAATGGACCTGCCGGCTGCAGCGAGTTGCCTCATACTGGATAAAAGGGATGCAACGCCAACACTGGAGAAGAAGTGCTACAGCTATTTCTCATGGAGCACTTTTTCTGGGATTTACCCACAGATTTACATGACTGGGTGCGAGACCGCCGCCCCCTCACCTTAAAGGACGCTGCCCAGTTAGCTGATGAGTTCCCAGAAACCCGGAAAGTGAGCCAGAGTACTTCTCGCCAACCAGCTTGGATAGAACACCGTACCCCAGCTCCATCCCCCAGGCCGAAGTTCCGTGCTCCGGTACCCCCAGGGCCTACCCGTCCCCAGGGGTCCGACAACTATCCTCGGGATTTATCCAAGACATTGTGCCATCGATGCCATAACACCAGAAACGTTGCCAAGTACTGCCCTTTGGGGTCCTCCACCTCAAACTGGAGGTGCCCCTCACCCGCCACCGAAATTGCAACCATTCGGGCACCAGCTGTTCACTGCATGGACACCGAGCTGGGCACCGAGGAATGCCTGGGTATCCTATATGAGGCAGATCCAGTGCAAGCTGCCTCCCCGGACAATTGCCAGCAGCACCATCAGGAGGTACGAGTAAATGGCCAAGTGGCTCAAGGTCTCAGGGACACAGGCGACACCATCACTCTGGTACAACGACATTTGGTCAAACCAGAACACCTGTCCAACTGCACCGTAGCTGTCTGGGTGGCTGGAGGAGCTGTATTCCATCTGCCCACTGCCAGAGTTCACCTCGACTGGGAAGTCGGTTTGGGTAAGACTATTGTGGGCATCATGGACAATCTTCCCGCAGAAGTCCTGCTAGGCAACGATATTACACCACTGACTTCAGCCTACTTGACTACCACTCCTGCTACTGCCTGCCCGGTGACCACCCGTTCCCAGACCCGTGGTGACGAGGATCCTGCTCCAGGACGGGAGACCCAGGTAAGCTCCTCACCACCCCTTCCCCTGACTGTGACTGCTAGACCCCTAGCTTGGGACACCCCTGAGGAATTTGGGAGGGAAACTAGAGAGGACCTGTCCCTTCAGAAATATAGGGAGAAAGCTGAGACTGGGGAGGATGAACATGAGAGGTTTATTTGGGACAAAGATCGATTATATAGACTAACCACAGACAGGAAGAGAGTATGTGCCCCATCCCAGAAGATTCAACTCATGATACCCCAGAAATACAGATTGGAACTCCTTCGTATTGGGCACGACATCCCCTTAGCAGGACACCTGGGTGGCAACCTCAGGATTTATAGGATCACCCAGTGTAGCGGAACACTGGTCTCTCACAGACTATTTCCGCTGGTAGTCCAGGTGTGGCTCAGGAACAAGTAGTAACCCCAGGAGAACATTCACCATAATCAATAAAATAATCCAATAGAGTAGCAGGCACAATCAGTTTTGCACACAAGAGGTTAAAAACCATTTAGGCGATTGCATGTGCCGTCAATTGACTACCCAGTAGCTGCGGTTCCCCTTTCAGATGCACAGGCAGCTACTGCAATCACCAATCTCCTGAACTGCAAACACACGAATTCTCCAACTCCCGAACAGTAAACACATGAATGCTGTTAAACAGCCGAACAGGAAAAACCATACGAACAGCTTACACGCCTGGCACTGTAACAGCATACAATCCAATTCCCCCCAAGAACAAGACAACACTTCATTTGAGGATCAAGCAGAATTGATTTACTGGGGCTACCTGCCCGGCTTTTATGCAGGTCTCCCACCTGATGGACACTCCTCTAGGGGACGAGATGGGAAACTGGAACACAAAGGGTAAAAGGACCAAGCACAAGCTTACACATTTAAACAGATCCCACAATGCATTGCAATCCCTCCTCTCTATCCTGGAGATAATTGGGAAGTAATCCAATTATCTCCAAGGACAGAGGCAAAACTCCATTAGCCACATGTTAGTAAAAAGACATAAAAATACACAGTGTTACAATTACTACATAAAACATATGTGATGAGAGCAATCTCGTCGCATTGCATTGGAGGAGCCTGGTTGCCCTCCTGCTCCCTTTAGACTATGGACCGGACTTTTAACATACTTAATTTTCCCTGCAGAAAGGCTTAGTTATGCCTTTCTGCCAGGGCGTTCGGTAGATCTCCTTCATTCGGTAGAACTCCTTCATCTTACCGAACAAAATACAGAACGCGCGACCACCGGGAAGCTGGCGTGTGACTTCAATTCACCTCCCTGAAGCTAGCATGTGCCGTCAATTGACTACCCAGTAGCTGCGGTTAACCGCAGCTTAATTGACTGTTACTGGGTGGCCGCGGTTACACTTAGCGGCCACTAGGTGGCGGTGTTATGGAGCTCCCCGGACGGCCAGCGGTGCTCAGCCTGGAATCAGTGCACTAAAAGCGGACACTTTTACGTGCAGGCACCGCTGAGCCTTCTGCCTTCCCTGCTTCTATTCATGGCTGTTTAGCCAAATGCTGGATTAATCGGGACTTTTTCTATGTGAATGTTTTAACCCAGATAGCTATGCCATGGAGCCTATTCGTATAATTAAAGACTTTTGCTCCATGGCAATTGAACTGTGTGAATAGGATCTGAGCGCTATTTGGTAGTTATGTGCGCTCAGATCCCAGCTATCTGGGGATATGTGACATGTCTATTTTATGTATTAAATGTAACTTTGTATATTTTAAAGTATTTTACTGTCTTTGTATAATGGCGATTTGCCTCTGTAATGGGAGATAATTGGATTCCTTCCCAATTATCTCCAGGATAGAGGGAGGGAAATTAGGATGCATTGTGGGGATGTTTTACTGCTGTGTGTCTGAATGTGATACATGTCTGTGTGTTACAGTATCCCATCTGGTCCCCTAGGGGAGTGTCCACCAGGTGGGAGACCTGCATAAATAATGGGCAAGTGGACCTGAATAAATCAGACCACTGCTTAACTCTCAACACAGAGCCTTGTCTCGTTCTTGATGGGATTTACTGTATGCTGTTAGAGACTGATTGCTAGGAGTGTAAGCCGCTTGGGTGCTTTCCTATTCGTCTACTAGCAGCTATTCATGAGGTTCCAGTTCTGGAGTTTGGAGTGCTATTTTGAATGCAGTTCGGGAGTTTGGAGCATTCCCTTGTATGCAGTTTGGGAGTTTGGTGTTCTGCATTAGCTGTGCCTGTATCTCTGGAAGGGGAAGATCTTCTAAATGGCATTTAACCCCTTTTATGCTGGGGGTGCCTTTACAATATACATTCGACATATCCCCAGATAGCTTAGATCTGAGCGCACATTATTACCGAATGGCGCTCAGATCACATACATACAGTTAAATCGCCATGGAGCCAAAGTCTTTCCCATAGTCTTTCGGTTTACGAATGGGCTCCATGGCTTAGCTATCTGGGTTAACACTGCTCACATAGGGAAAATAAAAGGTTTTTAATGCAGGGCCATAGTCCAGCAGCAAGAGGTGGGCAACCAGGCTCCTCCAGTGGCCAGTGGCATCACATTTCTCTCCTTTACCAATCAGACTAACAGGGTATCTGACCTCCTGTCGGTCAGTGCCCTGGTTAGTCCAGCAACCCACCCACAATATACAATCAACAGAATGGCCCACCCACAAGAATTGGTTACTGCACCTGGGGTAGTGGGTAGCTTGTCCATGTCCAGGGGCTCCACCACTGCTCTTGGGGGTACTAGCCCTCCGGATCGGTGGGTTGCTGAGTGGGCAGAGACCAGCGCTACCACGGGAGTAGCCTGGTTGGAGCCCAGCTGAGGAGAAGGGGTAGTAGGCTCCTCGCTCTGGACCTGGTGTTGCTGCTGGAGGGGAAGACAGGCTGTCTCCCCTTTGGATAAACAGCCCTGCTGCTTCAGGACAGGACCAACCATCCCTACCCCTTGTGGCTTGGGCACAGGGACCACGGTCCCAGCTGCACCGGTATGGTGCTTATTATCTCCCCTTGGTGGGCTAGGCTGCCGCTGGGAAGGGGGAACGAGGCTCTCCCCTCCAGATAGAATACTCTGCCACTGGGGAGCAGGACCGACTGTCCGTACTCCTTGTAGCTTGGATGCAGAGACCACGGTCCCATCTGCGCCGGTGGGGAGCTTAATTACTCCCCTTGGTGGGCTACGCTGCCGCTTGGGAGAGAGGGTAACAAGCTCCTCTCCCTTACCCCCTCACCCCAGCAGCTGAAAGTGTGTAACATGCTCCTCTCCCTGACACTCTCTATGCTGGTGGAGAGGGGGACCAACTGTCTCCCCTTTCAATATATTGTCCCGCTGCTGAGGAGCGAGACCGACTGTCTCTGCTCCCTGCCGGATACACTGCTGCTGGGGAGGAAGGACGGTACCTTGGGCTCCCTGGGACTCACTTGAACACTGGGGAGAGGGACAAACTGTCTCCTCTCCTAAGGACACACACTGTCGCTAGGGAGGAAGGACGACACCTTCAGCTCCCTGGGATACATACAGTCTAGGAGGTCCGCTACCTCGGGTTCCGCTGGTTACTGTAGGGGAAGTTGTCTCTTCCCGGGCCTCATTGATGAGTCACAGGTAATCCCACCCCAGGTCACATTCCTTGGTGACCAGATACCGTAGGTCTGCCTCGAGGTCAACAGTGCTAGGGAGACCAAGCATGTCTTCTCGGTCGTAAGACAGGTCCCAAAAACAAGAGTCGGTAGCTTTTCCAAAGACCTCATTGTCAATATTATCCCAAAATAGGCCAGGGTCAGCGTAATGTCCACCCTCTGGGAACTCATACTCTGCCATCTCGGGAACACACTGAGCTGCGTACCACTGTATCGCCTTGTATGCGTCGTCGAGCGTCAGTCCTGCATATACTAGAATTTCGAGTCTAGTCACCCACACTTCTTCGGTCTGTTTTCTCAGGAGAGGAATCCGCTCTGCCATTCGTGCCAAGATTCGCTGCCTTCTGCTGCGGCGCCAATCCCCTTGCCAATACTGTACTTTCTCTAGGTCTTTGTCCCAAAGCCGGACTCTGGCAATCTCTCTGTAACTCAACATGTCTTTCTCTGAGACTGCTTCTAGACCCCAGGGATATGTAACAGTACAATCTATCTTGAAACTTCTCCTCCATTTTCTGAGTTCCTTTGTAGATAGGGGCGCTGTACGGATACTAACGTTACCCTCAATTTGTAAATCCAGGGAATGGTGTTACCTTGTAGCTGTCCTTCTGGGCTGTGGAAATGATCCCACCGCTTGCCACCAAATGTAAAGGACCGTTTTGCACACACAAGAGGTTGAAAACCGTTAAGGCGATATTCCCATTTCAGATGAACAGGCAGCTACTGCAATCACCAATCTCCCGAACTGCAAACACACTGTAATGGCACCCCCAGGAATAAAAGGGTTAAACCGCAGTTTAGTAGATCTTCCCTTCCAGAGACACAGGCACAGCTACTGCAGAACACCAATCCGCGAACAGGAAACCATATGAATGCCGTAAACAGCCGAATAGGAAAAAACCATACGAATAGCTTTACACTCCTAGCAGTCAAACTGAAACAGCATACAATAAATCCCCCCAAGAACGAGACAAGGCTCCGTTTTGAGGGTCAAGCAGGAACAGCCAGAGCTGTGGGTTTATTGTGCTTATGTACACATTCTTACACATTAGTACCACCCACAGGGTTTTGGAACACAACCAATAAACACATACAATACACTCAGACACTCCCACACAAAATACTCCCCTCAGCCTGTGATACAATTACCTTACACAATGGGTAATGTAATTATAACAAGCAGAGAAATACAATTTTCCACATTATTCATAACTTGAAAAGTATGCATCACATTCACATACTTACATTTTCAGAATCAGCATACTCCAAATACAAACATACGTCAAAATCATACAAATTGGTCCAATGGTTCAAAAGATGAATCATAGTCCTTTGTGGCCAAAGGAAGCATGGCTTTTCTGCCCAAAACCAGTTCCACAGAGTCTTCTATCCTGGAGATAATTGGGAAGTAATCCAATTATCTCCAAGGACAGAGGCAAAACTCAATTGAACACATGGCAGCAAAAGACAACAAAACACATAAAAACATATAACCGTGCTGCCATTGCACAAAACAAGTGCATTCAACATATCCCCAGATAGCTCAGATCTGAGCACACACATACAGTTCAATTGCCATGGAGCCAAAGTCTTTCCCAGAGCCTTTTATTATACGAATGGGCTCCATGGCATAGCTCTCTGGGGTATCACCGCTCAAACAGGGCAAGCACCAAATGACCGGCTTTCATGTCTTTGCAGGGGAAAATCAGGCCTTTTAACATGGGGCCATAATCCAAAGGCAACAGGCGAGCAACCAGGCTTCTCCAATGCAATGTGGCGAGATTGGTCTTGTCACACACACGTATTCTCCAACTCCCGAACTGGAACCATACTGTGACGAGACCAATCTCACCATTGTGCATTGGAGGAGCCTGGTTGCCTGCCTGCTACTTTTTGACTATGGACCGGCATTTAAATACTTTATTTTCCTATGCCGAAAGGTCTATTCATGTATCTCTGCCTGGGCGTTCGGTAGATTCTATCTACCAAACAAAAAGCCGTCTATTGGCCTCCCAGGAGCCACGGTTAGCTGGCAGGCGTTGTTAATTGGCCGTCCAGAAGTCGGCGAGCGCCGCCAATTGACCGCCCAGTAGCTGCGGTTAACCACAGCTTAATTGACTATACCGGGTGGCCGCGTCTACGCATACTGAACACTGGATGGCAGCAGGCTACAGTTCACACGCAGCCGGTTCATTCACGGATTTACTGAATAAACTCATTTAACTCAGATAGCTATGCCATGGAGCCTACTCGTGTAATAAAAGACTTTGGCTCCATGGCAATTGAACTGTATGTGTGTTGTCTGAGTGCCATTCGGTAATAATGTGCGCTCAGACCTAAGCTATCTGGGGATATGTTGCACGTCTGTATTTTATGTAATAAATGTAACCTTGTGTATTTTTTTTTTTTTTATTTTTTTTTTACTTTGACAATTTTTATTGATCTTTTTTGGGGGGGGTACAGAAAGAAAAAGGGGTAGGGGAAAAGGACAATAGTTAGAGGACAGTGGTATACATTCATATCTTTGTACTTTGGTGTGGGCACACTAGTGGTGCCTCGTTGTCAGTAATGCTTGTATGTTCTGCCATATACAGATTGGGTTCACATTTTCCATTTCGAGAGACATGTTACATTAGTTTACATAGTTCAACAATTTAGTCATGTTTCCTCTAGATATGGCATTGGTGATTCGGATATTCCCTATCTAGGGTGCCACTGGGAGAGGATGAAAACAGTTATAGAAGTAACAGGGGGGGGGGGTAACGGGGAAGTAGGTGTCACTCCCAGGCCTGAGGTGACTAACATTGACCTTTTTAAGTAACGTATTTTTACATGTTTGTACATTCTTGTGCCTTTGTGCACTCATTAGGAACACAGCTGTCGGTTAGCAGATGCACGTCCTAGCCTTCTTCCTTCCCATTCATTTTTGGGGTGGGGGAAGGGGGTGGAGGAGATTGTTGCGCTCCATATATTGGTGCCATTCCTCCCATGCCTCTTGCCAGACCTTCTTTGTGCGGGAGGTTCGCCTGGCCGCTATTTCATATAGCCTTGTGGTGTCTAATAATTGTGTGAGTTCGGTGGTTGGCATTGGTAGGGGTGATTTCCAGTGCCTGCTAATTACAGTGAGGGCTGCCATGAGTAGTTGATATATTAAGTATTTTTGCTTCCACCCCATCCTTTTTGGGAATAGTTGGAGGAGGTATGTTTCGGGTGTCCTGGGTAGCATAGTTTTTGTGCTCTCTTGAATTATGGTGGAGACTACGTCCCAGAATGGGGTTAGGATGGGGCAGGTCCACCAGATGTGGAGCATCGTGCCTTTATGCTGCTGGCATCTCCAGCATACATCAGATGCTTGGGGGTGCGCCGCTTTAATGCGAGTGGGCACTAAATACCACCTGTATAGGATTTTGCGAGAGAGCTCCATATGTGAAGCACATTTAGAGAGGGAGTTGTGTGCCTTTAAGATGTCTTTCCACTGCTGTGGAGTTAGGTTATATTTGAATTCTTTCTCCCATGCAGTTGTGAAAGAAAATTTGGTATGGCCAGTGTGTGCGTGCATTGATTGATAGATTTCAGAGATTAGTTTTTTGGGGGGCGAGAGGCGTAGGCATATTTTTTCTACCGCCGTCAGCTGTGGTTCCTGTACATTTCCAGACCCATTTACAGTTTGCTTGTGGAACCAGGATTTTATTTGTAAATAGGAAAAGGAAACCCGTGCGTTGAGGTGGTAGGAGTCTTGTATATCCTTGAAACTTCTAAGTTCCTGACCTTGTATGAGGTGATATAGGTGCGTGATGCCGTATTCATGCCACAATGCGTGGTTGAAATTGGGGATTATGTATTGTAATGTTTTTAGGGGCATGGCTTGTGATGTTTTCCCTGTCCAGCCCATTTTACGGCAGTGTGTGTCCCAAATGTGCAGTGTTAGTGCTGTGACTGGGAGCATCACGCTCGTCGATGGTCTGTAGGTTTTTGGGAGCCATGCCAATATTGTTAGGGGGGTGTTGTTTGCATGGTATGTCTCTATCTCTTCCCATGGAGTTGGGTGAGTTCTGTGGCATGCTGCTAGGAGTGGACTCAGTATGGCTGCACGATAGTAGTTATCTAGATTGGGTACGCCCATCCCCCCTTTTTCCCGTGGCAGGTATAGTGTGCTTTTTGCTACCCGTGGTTTGTGCTTGTCCCATATAAATTCCATTAGTATTTGTTGTGCTTCCCGAAGGAAATGGGGGGGTAGTTTTATTGGCAGTGTTCTGAATAAATATTGTAGTTTCGGTAAAACAATCATTTTGAACGCAGCTATTCTGCCTGACCACGAGATGTATTTACCTTTCCATCCTGTTAGCACTGTTTTTATATCGGACAGTGTTTTTTGGTAGTTTGTTTTATATAATAGGGCTGGCTTCTGTGTGATGTTAATTCCTAGGAATTTTAGATAGTCAGTTCTCCAGTCATAGTGAAAGGAGTTGCGTAGGCTCTCTAATGTGTCAGTGGGAATATTTATGCCCATTGCTTGAGTTTTGGTCACATTTAACTTATAGTGTGAACATTTGCTGTATTGGGATAGGACAGAATGAAAGTTTGGCAGGGAAATATGTGGTTGCTCCAACGTTAGTAGCACGTCATCCGCAAATAGTGTAAGTTTGTACTCCTTGCCTTGTTTAGTGATACCATGTATGTTCGGGTTGTCCCTGATGAGCTGTGTGAGCGGTTCCAGGGATAGAATGTATAATAGAGGAGAAAGCGGGCATCCCTGCCGCGTTCCATTGGTTATGTTGAATTGTTTGGAGATGAAGCCTCCGTTCGTGACTTTCGCAGTCGGTTTGGAATATAATGCCTCTACCAGTTTTAGGAAGTTATCAGGAAAGCCATATTTGTTGAGGACCGCGCGGAGGAAGGGCCAGTGCAGCCTATCGAAGGCTTTTTCTGCATCAAGCGACAGGAGTACACATTGGGCCCCCCCTCCGCGCCCCCCCCCTAGCAAGTTCAAAACCTTCCTGGTTCCATCTGCCCCCTGTCTACCACTGACAAAGCCTACCTGATCTTTATGTATTATGGTCGGTATGATGTTTGCTAGACGATTCGAGAATATTTTGGCTAGTAGTTTAGTGTCGGTGTTGAGGAGAGATATTGGCCTTAGGTTCTGGCATTTGGTCGGGGGTTTGCCTGGTTTTGGCAGTGTGGCCACATGCGCCATGAGCATTTCCTGGGGCATCTGGCCGGTTGTGATAATATGGTTAAAGGACCTCTCTAGGTATGGGACTAGGGATGCGGTCTGTGACTTGTAATAGGAATTTGTCAAGCCGTCAGGTCCTGGCGACTTCCCGTGAGGGAGAGATTGGATGGCATGTTGGATTTCTTGTGTCGTGACTGGGTTTTGTAAAGTTGTTTTTTGTTGTGCTGAAAGTGCCGGTAGTGTGGTTTGCCGGAGGAAGTCTTGTATGTCTGAGGGGGTGGGCTGGTGTAAGTCTGGATCGTCCTTGAGGTTGTATAGTGAGTGGTAGTATGTCGCCATAGTATCGTTAATGTCCTGTGGATTGTGGATTTTAGTTCCTTTGTTTGTAAGTAAATAGGGTATTTTGGCGTTGGATTGTTTTTGTCTCAGTAAGGTTGCCAGGTGTTTACCTGCTCTGTTGCCTTGGGAGTATGAAGTTTGTTTTAGTTTGTGTAGGATGTGTGCAGTTTTTGCTAGTGCTATGTTGTTGAGGTGTGCTGTGGTGTCTTTGATTATCTGTGCTTGTTGCGGGGTAGGGTTCACTATGTTTGCCGCAGTAGCATCTCTTAGGGTGCGCAGCAGATTCAGGTATTCCTCTTGGGCTTTTTTCTTTACATAGGACGCTCGACTGATCAATAAGCCTCGTATTACCGCCTTATGGGCTTGCCATAGCGTTGTTGGGTGTATGTCTGGGGTGTCATTGATTTGGAAGTATGTACACAGGGTATCCGTTAGTGTTTGAGAGAAGGTGTGGTCGTGGAGGAGTGAGTCGTTTAGGCGCCAAGGTGGTCGCCCCCTGTGCTGGTATTCTCCAGATATTTCTACCATGGTCGGGGCATGATCCGACCAGGTGATGTCCCCAATGTTGCTATCAGTGACCTTAGGTAAGAGGGTGCCTGCAATAAAAATGAAATCTATTCTCGAGTGGGATTTATGTACTGCCGAATAGTATGAGAAAGATTTTTCGGTCGGGTGGAACATTCTCCATGAGTCATATAGTCCGTATTCCCCCAGCAGTTTATTTAGGGCTTTGCTTTGTGGTCGTAGTGTTGCCTGTCTAGGGGCTGTGGGATTTAGCGTGGTGTCCATATTGGGATCTAAAGGATGGTTCAGGTCCCCGCATAGTATGGTAGCAGCCGTTTGGTGGTCTGGGATCATAGATAATACCTTATGCAGAAAATTACGTTGATGCACGTTTGGACTGTAGAAGCTAATTACAACGTACGGGGAGCCATTAAGTAGGCATTGAAGCATCACATATCTCCCCTGGCTGTCTGTTTTAACTCGTAAGATTTCTACAGTTAGTGAGGCATGAAGAAGGATCGATACTCCTTTCGACTTTGAGGAGTGGGTGGCATGGTATTGGTGGGGATAGTCCTTTATACCAAATTTTGGCACCTTGGAGGTGACAAAGTGTGTTTCTTGAAGGCAGATGATATCTGCTTTATTCTTCCTAGCCTCCTCCAGTACCATGCGTCGTTTGTGGGGTGTATTCAACCCCCTACTATTATGTGAATATATTCTCATGTTATAGATGTATGGTAGAGATAGCTCGTTTGTGGGCTTGTTATTTCCACAGTGGGCGACTTGGTAGATAGTGTTAGATCAACGTGCTGCCTGTTGGGCAGTCTTAGAACGGTGACTTGTAGCCTGGGAGTTATGGGTAGTGTAGGGAGGGTGTTGGGGGTTAACGTAAAAGAAAGTATATACAGAGTGACCCAACTTGGGGTCCTGGCACTGAGGCTCAGTGCCATGGGGGTTGGACGCTCGGGTTGCGTCTCTGGTAGTGTGGCTAATGGGCTCTCATATTGTCACATTTTCAGATGTGTCAGAACGTTAGGGGGGGGGGTAAGGTAGCGTTGTTAGCTCAGTATGTAAGTGGGTATTTAAAACTGGGGTAACTCGCTCAGGGGTACTGGTAGTACTTGGAGCGGGGCTTCTTTAATGGCGCCACCGGAAGTATCCAGGGCACTGCGCAGTACCTCGGGTGGTGGAGACCCTGTTTTGTGGTTTAACTATGGGTCCCTGCTTTGCCTTAGTTGAGGCTATGCCTTTGTTTCTTAAAGATTGTAAGCTTGCCTGTATCATAAGCAGGTGAGGATATCATGTATGGTACAAGGTGAATAACATTTCACATATAAACACTGCAGTAACAGTAACAACAACATGCTAATCAGAAACAATTAATCTTGGCTATAATATGATATTTTAAGCTAGATTTGGTGTGTACAGTTATCTCACGTGCTCCCAGGTTGTATCGGATGTGGGTTTCGTGTCGTCGGATCTTATGGCAGCCTGGATTTCATCGGGATTTGTCGCCATTCTGGTGTTAGACGACCCGTTGGGCCTGCTGGCGTGTGAGTGGAGTCTTTCATAAGTCCCCATTCGCGCATTTGTTTCACTCCGTCTTCTGGAGTTTGAATAATTGTCAGTCCTCCATTCTTTGTGACCAATAGTTTGGTGGGGTATCCCCAGCGATATCTGATCCCAGCTTGTCGCAATTCGTCGGTGATTGCATGGAATTCTTTTCTGCGTTTCAAAGTTGCTGCAGAGAGATCTGCCAGGATTTTGATTTTTGCAAATTCTTCTGGTGGGTCCGCTCTGTTCCTGCTAGCGCGCAGCACGGCTTCCTTTATGTGGAAGTAGTGTGCCCTGAGGAGGATGTCCCTGGGTACGTTGTCCGGTAGATTCCTGGGTTTGGGGACCCTGTGTACTCTATCCACCAGGAGCATGTCCACGGGTATGTCGGGGGCGTACGCCCTAAGGAGGCCTCGTACATAGGTTTGCAGGTCACAAGGGAGGACAGTCTCTGAAACTCCCCGCAGCCGCAGGTTGTTCCTCCGTGACCGGTCTTCTGCGTCCGCCATGCGGGCCTCCATGGCTTCCACTTTGTGTTCCAAGGCCGCCACGTGGTCTGCCACCTCGTTGTGTGCTGTGGCGAACTCACTGAGTTTATGTTCCACGTGCGCTGTTCTGGTTCCGATGTCTTGAACTTCTTTGCGAAGTAGTTCTATTGAGGATTGCCATGTTTTCACTAGTTTTTCTGCCATGTTGTTTAATGCATCCTCTAGGTGTGCTCTAGTCAGGTTTTCTTGCTCTCCTTGATGGGAGTTCGCCTGCTGAGTGTTTCCCGCCGGTATCTCGTCGGCGCCATCTTGGATTATGCTCCGATCAGTTTCAGAGACTGCCGCCGATTTTTGATTAAAAAAGCTAAGTTTTTCAGCCTTCTGGTTGTTCTTCTTCCCCTTGGGCTGCGACATGGTAAGTTTTGAGGGGTTTCCCCGCGTTCTGACAGCGGATGGTAGCGGATTTAGAGAGCCCGGGTGCCGGAGCAATTTCCTAAGCAGCCAGGTTGCTCGGCAGTTGGCCACCAACCTTGTGTATTTTATTGTATTTTACTGTCTTTTTACTGCCATGTGGTTAATGAAGTTTTGCCTCTGTCCTTGGAGATAATTGAATTACTTCCCAATTATCTCCAGGATAGAGGGGAGGGATTGTAATGTACTGTGGGAGTGTTTTAACCCTGTATGCCTGTGATTGGTCATTTTACCATTTGTGTCCCAGTCTTCCATCTGGTCCCCTAGGGGAGTGTCCACCAGGTGGAAGACCTGCATAAATACCGGGCAGGTAGCCCCATGAAATCAGACCACTGCTTGCCCCTCAAAATCCCTTGTCTCATTCTTGGGGGGATTTACTGTATGTTGCTTCAGACTGATTGCCAGGAGTGTAAACTGTTCGTATGGTTTTTCCTGTTTGCCTGTTTGCAGTATTCGTATGGTTCCAGTTCGGGAGTTTGAAGCATTCATATGGTTTCGGTTCGGGAGTTAGAAGCATTCGTGTGTTTCCAGTTCGGGAGATTGGTGTTCTGCAGTAGCTGCCTGTGAATCTGGAAGGGAATATCTCCTAAACGGCGGTTTAACCCCTTTTATGCCTGGGGGTGCCGTTACAATTGGTGGCAAGCAACGGAATGGTTCTCACAGCCCAGAAGGACAGCTACAAGGCAACCACATTTCCTCGATTTATAATTTGAGGGCAACGCATGTCTCAGTACAGCGACCCTGAACTGAGCAGGATTGAACCAGGCTGGACCCAAACAGAAGTTCCATATGAGAAGGAAGACCTGGATGGCCGGGATGGTACCAGGCACTGGATAACGTACAGTATCAGCGGGGCGAAGGACTCCTCAGTGAGGAGCAGTGACAGCAGATACGACTGGCACTGTGGATGCCCTTCCTGGGAGAGCAGCCCCTGGAGCAATGGGTAAAGGAGCTCCAGCACCGGGTATGGCAGGAGCTATGGCAAGGGGATGCCTACCAGGCACTCTGGTGGTATACAGTTGGGTATACACCCTGGACAGTGGAGCATGATAACCCTGAGGGAGAATAGTTTAATGGCCCTGGCTTGCTGACCAGTCTCTAAACTGTGCATTGCCCGCTTGTTTGCCTGCCTGCTGCCTTTAGACTATGGCCCCATGTTGAAACGCTTGATTTTCCCCTGCAAAGACACAAAAGCTGGGTCATTCGGTACTTGACCTTTTTGAACAGTGATACCCCAGATAGCTATGCCATGGAGCCCATTTGTATAACGAAAGACTATGTGAAAGACTTTGGCTCCATGGCAATTGAACTGTATGTATGTGATCTGAGCGCCATTCAGTAATAATGTGCGCTCAGATCTAAGCTATCTGGGGATGAATGTTGAATGTACCTGTTGTATGCAATAGCTGCACAGTTATATATTTTTATGCATTTTATTGTCTTTTGCTACCATGTGTTCAATGGAGTTTTGCCTCTGTCCTTGGAGATAATTGGATTACTTCCCAATTATCTCCAGGATAGAAGACTCTGTGGAACTGGTTTGGGGCAGAAAAGCCATGCTTCCTTTGGTCACAAAGGACTACGATCAATGTTTTGAACCACTGGACCAATTTGTATGATTTTGACGTATGTTTGTATTTGGAGTATGCTGATTCTGAAAATGTAATATGTGAATGTGATGCATACTTTTCAAGTTATCAATAATGTGGAAAATTTTTATTTCTCTGCTTGTTATAATTACATTACCCATTGTGTAAGGTAATTGTATCACAGGCAGAGGGGAGTATTTTGTGTGGGAGTGTCTGAGTGTATTGTATGTGTTTATTGGTTGTGTTCCAAAACCCTGTGGGTGGTACTAATGTGTAAGAATGTGTACATAAGCACAATAAACCTACAGCTCTCACTGTTCATTGCTTGACCCTCAACACGGAGCTTTGTCTCGTTCTTGGGGGGGATTTACTGTATGCTGTTCCAGTTTGACTGCTAGGAGTATAAACCTATTCGTATGGTTTTTCCTATTCGGCTGTTTACAGCATTTGTATGGTTTCCTGTTCGGCGGATTGGTGTTCTGCAGTAGCTGTGCCTGTGTCTCTGGAAGGGAAGATCTACTAAAAGGCTTTTAACCCCTTTTATGCTGAGGGTGCCGTTACACTGTACATTTTAAAGTAATTCTCTATCCTGTGGTCCCCACGTGTATAATGGCGATTTGCCTTTGTCCTGGGAGATAATTTAATTACTTCTCAATTATCTCCAGGGAAGAGGGGAGGAAGCCAGGATGCATTGTGGGAATGTATTGTGACTGTATGTCCTAATTTGATACCTGTCTGTCCTTTGTTACAGTCTCCCATTTGGTCCCCTAGGGGAGTGTCCACCAAGTGATAAAAATAGAAACGTAGAATGTGACGGCAGATAAGAACCATTCGGCCCATCTAGTCTGCCCAATTTTCTAAATACTTTCTTTAGTCCCTAGCCTTATCTTATAGTTAGGATAGCCTTATGCCTATCCTACGCATGCTTAAACTCCTTTACTGTGTTAACCTCTACCACTTCAGCTGGAAGGCTATTCCATGCATCCACTACCCTCTCAGTAAAGTAATACTTCCTGATATTATTTTTAAACATTTGTCCCTCTAATTTAAGACTATGTCCTCTTGTTGTGGTAGTTTTTCTTCTTTTAAATATAGTCTCCCCCTTTACTGTGTTGATTCCCTTTATATATTTAAATGTTTCTATCATATCCCCCCTGTCTCGTCTTTCCTCCAAGCTATACATGTTAAGATCCTTTAACCTTTCCTGGTAAGTTTTATCCCGCAATCCATGAACCAGTTTAGTAGCCCTTCTCTGAACCCTCTCTAAGGTATCAATATCCTTCTGAAGATACGGTCTCCAGTACTGTGTACAATACTCCAAGTGAGGTCTCACCAGTGTTCTGTTCAATGGCATGAGCACTTCCCTCTTTCTACAGCTAATACCTCCCCCTATACAACCAAGCATTCTGCTAGCATTTCCTGCTGCTCTATTACATTGTCTGCCTACCTTTAAGTCATCAGAAATAATCACCCCTAAATCCCTTTCCTCAATTGTTGAGGTTAGGACTCTATCAAATATTCTGTACTCTGCCCTTGGGTTTTTACGTCCAAGATGCATTATCTTGCACTTATCCAGATTAAATGTCAGTTGCCACAATTCTGACCATTTTTCTAGTTTACCTAAATCATTTGCCATTTGGCTTATCCCTCCTGGAACATCAACCCTGTTACATATCTTGGTATCATCAGCAAAAAGACATACCTTACCATCAAGACCTTCTGCAATATCACTAATAAAAATATTAAAGAGAATGGGTTCAAGTACAGATCCCTGAGGTACCCCACTGGTGACAAGTCCAAGCTTCGCATATATTCCATTAACTACAACCCTCTGTTGCCTGTCACTCAGCCACTGCCTTACCCATTCAACAATATTGGAATCCAAACTTGAAGAGTGCAGTTTATTGATAAGCCTTCTATGTGCAACAGTGTCAAAAGCCTTGCTGAAATCTAGGTATGCAATGTCTACTGCACCACCCTGATCTATAATTTTAGTTACCCAATCAAAAAAATCAATAAGATTAGTTTGGCATGATCTCCCTGAAGTAAACCCATGTTGTCTCTGATCTTGAAATCCATGTGTTTTTAGATGTTTAACAATCCTATCCTTTAACATGGTTTCCATCACTTTCCCCACTACTGAAGTAAGGCTTACTGGCCTATAGTGGCCCAACTCCTCCCTATTACCTTTCTTGTAAATGGGCACAACATTCGTAACTTCCAATCTTCTGGGACTACTCCTGTTAACAATGATTGGTTAAATAAATCTGTTAATGGTTTTGCTAGTACACCACTTTTGAAAGTTGAAATAGAACCTCTTCCTCTGTAAACTCACGTGTAATAAATGACTCATTTATCCTTTTTATCAACTGATGTCCTTTTCCTTTATTTTCATCTGTAAATACAGAACAAAAATATTAATTGAGGCAGTCCTTTATCCTCTTCTACATACCTTCCTTCTTTTGTTTTTAATTGAACTAATCCTTATTTTACTTTTCTTTTCTCATTTATGTATCTAAAAAATGTTTTGTCCCCCTTTTTTACTGACTGTGCTATTTTCTCTTCTGTGTGTGAAATGGAAGCTCTTATAACTTGCTTAGCCTCTTTCTGCCTAATCTTATAGATCATTTTGTCATCCTCACTCTGGTTTTTTTTATAATTCCTAAATGCTAACTTTTTGTTTTTAACTATTTTGGCCACATCTGCGGAGTACCACAGTGGTTTCTTGAATTTTTGCTTTTACTGACAAGCCTAATGCAATTTTCTGTTGCCTTCAATAGTGCAACTTTTAAATAATCCCATTTTTCTTGGACTCCATTTAAATTGCTCCAGTCTGATAATGACTCCTCTACACATATTCTAATTTTAGAAAAGTCTGTTTTTCTAAAGTCTAAAACTTTAGTTTTTGTGTGGTGTGACTCAGTCACTGTTCTTATATTAAACCACATTGACTGTTGATCACTGGATCCTAAACTTTCACCTACAGTAATATCTGATACCAAATCTCCATTTGTTAACACTAAATCTAGTATGGCCTCTTTACGAGTTGGCTCTTCAACAACTTGTTTTAGAGACAATCCCAGTAGGGAGTTTAGAATATGTGTGCTCCTGGCACAAGTAGCTAATTTTGTTTTCCAATTTACATCAGGAAGATTAAAGTCACCCATGATGATAACTTCCCCTTCATTGTCATTTTAGCTATTTCCTCAACTAGTAGATTATCTAACTCTTCAATTTGTCCTGGGGGCCTATAAATCACACCTACACGAGTTACTGTGTGATTACCAAATTCTAACGTAACCCAAACGGACTCTGTTTGTCTCACTAACTTTTATTAGGCTAGATTTTATGCTATCCTTCACATACAGGGCCACCCCTCCCCCTTTCTTGCCTTCCCTATCTTTTCTATATAAAGAGTACCCTGGTATTGCTATGTCCCAGTCATTTTTCTCATTATACCATGTCTCAGTAATAGCGACTAAATCTACACTCTCAGTTGCCATTATTGCCACAAGTTCATGGATCTTATTCCCTAAACTGCAAGCATTTGTAGACATGACTCTAAGCTTATAATTTTTAACACACTTGCTACAGGCACCTTCTGTCCTTGTTTTGGGGGACAATTAGATTGATGTTTTATCACCCTTTTACCCCCCCTCCCCCGCTAGTTTAAATACATCCTAGCAAAACCTCTGAACTGCTCACTGAGAACATTTGTTCCCTTTTGAGAAAGGTGCAAACCATCTTTTTTGTACAGCTTATTTCCATTCCAAACAGAGCTACCATGAGAAATAAAGCCAAATCCTTGCTCCCGACACCATTCACCAAGCCACAAATTAAAGTCCCTAATACGCATCCGCCTGTCGTTCTGAGTGTTATGCACAGGCAGAACGTCAGGGAATGACAGTGTGGAAACAACCTGCCGTATATCATTGGCAAAAACACTAAAAACTTCCTTAACCTCTCAAACCTCATTGTAAGCCAAGTCATTTGTCCCTAGATGGAAAAGTAATCCAATTCCCCTTCCTGCTTTGCTTGCTTAACAATATTTCAGATACGTCTCCTGTCTCTGTGAGCAGTAGCTCCGGGAAGACACCTCACAAGACCACCATTGTCCATCTCCACACCTCTTATGATGGAATCCCCCAACAACTGCTTTCTATTAGGCCTCACCATAGTCTCCAAGCCGGTCTCCACAACACCACTAGCGTCAGTGTCTCTCTCCACAACACCATTACACTCTGAAAGTGCAGAAAATGAATTATGTAGAGCAACAGATTGTGCAAAATGCCTGGATCTGAGTGCCTGGATCTGAGTGCATATTATTGGCGAATAGCGCTCAGATCCCATACGCATAGTTCAATCGCCATGGAGTCAAAGTCTATTACAGTTCTTCGGTATGCAATTGACTCCAGGGGAAGGCTATCTGGGTTAAGTCCATTCGTGCATTTAAACCTCCCAAACGGCCGGTGTTCGCACACTTCTGTCGATGGAGAAGGGAGGTCGGCGGCTTCAGCGGTGTTCGGCTGAAAAAGTGTCCATTTTCAGTTCCATGAAATCAATGCCGAACACCGCTGATCTTTCGCATGGTTTAAAATGGCCGCCGCCTCGTGGTAGACATACGAACGACGACCACCCGGTATTCGGTTTTAATTGAGAAGTGTCTGTGGTTAACCGCATCGTTCTTATTGGGATCAATAGGTTAACCAGCAGCACACTTCTCTTCTGGGTGGCCGTCCGTTCGGTAGTTTTGTTCGGCGGAAAAGTCAATTCACGTAATAGGGGCATACGAACGGGTAAGTTCATGAAAAGGCAAAACAGACGAATCCAGCAATCTCAGTCTATACAGATGGATCTGTCACACACTCCTAGCAGTCAAACTGGAACAGCATGCAATAAATCCCCCCCCAAGAACGAGACAAAGCTCCGTGTTGGGGGTCAAGCAGTGAACAGCCAGAGCTGTGTGTTTATTGTTCTTATATACACATTAGTACCACCCACAGGGTTTGGAACACAACCAATAAACACATACAATACACTCAGACACTCCCACACAAAATCCTCCCCTCTGCCTGTGATACAATTACCTTACGCAATGGGAAATGCAATTATCACAAGCAGAGAAATACAATTTTTCCACATTATTGATAACTTGAAAAGTATGCATCACATTCACATAAATAGATCGTAGTCCTTTGTGACCAAAGGAAGCATGGCTTTTCTGCCCAAAACCAGTTCCACAGAGTCTTCTATCCTGGAGATAATTGGGAAGTAATCCAATAATCTCCAAGGAAAGAGGCAAAACTCCATTGAACACATGGCAGCAAAAGACAATAAAACACAAAAACATATAACTGTGCTGCCATTGCACAAAACAAGTACATTCAACATATCCCCAGATAGCTCAGATCTGAGCACACACATACAGTTCAATTGCCATGGAGCCAAAGTCTTTCCCAGAGCCTTTTATTATACGAATGGGCTCCATGGCATAGCTCTCTGGGGTATCACCGCTCAAACAGGGCAAGCACCAAATGACCGGCTTTCATGTCTATGCAGGGGAAAATCAGGCCTTTTAACATGGGTCCATAATCCAAAGGCAACAGGCGAGCAACCAGTAATCTCCAATGCAATGTGGCAAGATTGGTCTTGTCACACACACGTATTCTAGACAATAAAACAGATAAAAACATATAACTGTGCAGCCATTGCACAAAACAGGTACATTCAACATATCCCCAGATAGCTCAGATCTGAGTGCACATTATTACTGAATGGCGCTTAGAGCACACACATACAGATGAATTGCCATGGAGCCAAAGTCTTTCCCATAGTCTTTCATTATACGAATGGGCTCCATGGCATAGCTATCTGGGGTATCACCGTTCAAACAGGGTAATCACCAAATGACCCAGCTTTTATGTCTTTGCAGTGGAAAATCAAGCCTTTTAACATGGGGCCCTAATCCAAAGGCAACAGGAGAGCAACATCTCCAATGCAATGTGGCGAGATTGGTCTTGTCACAGACACACACGCAGGCACACAGTCATTCACCCACACACACAGACACACAGCCACACACACAAAGGCAGACAGTTATAATCACACACACAGGCAGACAGTCATACACACACACACAGTCAAACACACACAGACACATACACAGACAGTCACACATGCACACACACACAGGAAGAAAGTCACACACACATACATACACAGACAGTCATACACAGACACACACACACACAGGCAGACAGTCATACACACACACGCACACACAGGCAGATGGCCATACACACACAGTAAGACATCCACACACACACACAGAGGCAGGCAGTCACAAACATCATCCTGTGTACGTTCTATATTACTTGTCCAAAATGAATCTCCTTTATTTGTATGTTCAATTTACATTAAAGAACATGATTCTCTGCTTAATTTTAAGTAGTATGTCTGTGTGACAAGACCAATCTCGCCACATTGCGTTGGAGAAGCCTGGTTGCTCGCCTGTTGCCTTTGGATTATGGCCCCATGTTAAAAGGCTTGATTTTCCCCTGCAAAGACATGAAAGCCGGGTCGTTTGGTGCTTGCCCTGTTTGAGCGGTGTAACGGCACCCTCAGCGTAAAAGGGTTAAACTGCCGTTTAGTAGCTCTTCCCCTTCCAGAGACACAGGCACAGCCACTGCAGAACTCCAAACTCCCGAACAGGATACCAAGTAGCACTCCAAATTCCTGAACTGGAACCTTACGAATAGATGCTAGCAACTGAACTGGAAAAGCACCCAAGCAGCTTGCACTCCTGGCAATCAGTCTCTAACAGAATACAGTAAATCCCCCCAAGAACGAGACAAAGCTCCGTGTTGAGGGTCAAGCAATGAACAGCCAGAGCTGTGGGTTTATTGTGCTTACGTACACATTCTTACACATGTACATAAGCACAGGATTTTGGAACACAACCAATAAACACATACAATACACTCCCACACAAAATCCTCCCTTCTGCCTGTGATTCAATTACCTTACACAATGGGTAATGTAATTATAACAAGCAGAGAAATACACATTCATAACTTGAAAAATATGCATCACATTCACATATAACTTACTTTCAGAATCAGCATACTCCAAATACAAACATACGTCAAAATCATACAAATTGGTCCAATGGTTCAAAAGATGGATCGTAGTCCTTTGTGACCAAAGGAAGCATGGCTTTTCTGCCCAAAACCAGTTCCACAGAGTCTATCCTGGAGATAATTGGGAAGTAATCCAATTATCTCCAAGGACAGAGGCAAAACTCCATTGAACACATGGCAGCAAAAGACAATAAAACAGATAAAAACATAACTGTGCAGCCATTGCACAAAACAGGTACATGCAACATATCCCCAGATAGCTCAGATCTGAGCGCACATTATTACTGAATGGCGCTCAGAGCACACACATACAGTTCAATTGCCATGGAGCCAAAGTCTTTCCCATAATCTTTCATTATACGAATGGGCTCCATGGCATAGCTATCTGACTGAAATGGATGGAGTACCAGAGGCAGAAGGAACCAATGGGCCCAGCGCAGATGACAGAACCCCCGAGGAGGCAAGCTTTGACCGGGCGATAAGAATCAGGCTGGCCCATTATGGTCCCAACCTGACTATAGAGACCATTGACCGGGTCATAGCCGCTGTGGAGGCCAACCTGCTACGCCAAAGCGGTGTTGCAGCAGCCCCAGTTCCAGGAAACCCGGTGGAAAGAAAGAAGGTACAGTTTGCAGCATTTAAATCCTTCAGTGAGACAGAAGGAGAGATTGATGGTGTGACAGAACCATCTGTCTGTCTATTGTGGTGGATGTGTCTATTTCTGCCCCCTTTCGTGTAAATGGCTGTTTCTATAGCCCAGCCATACGAATGACTGTTTTTCAACAAATGGATGGCCACCTAGGATAGAAGTGTGCTGCTGGTTACCTCTTAATCCCAATTAGAACGTTGTGGTTAACCGCAGACACTTCTCAATTAAACCGAATTCAGGGTGGCCGTCGTTCGTATGTTGACCACGAGGCGGCGGCCATTTTAAAACACACGAAAGCCCAGCAGTGTTCGGCACTGATTTCATGGAACAGACACTTTTTCTGCTGAACACCGCTGAAACAACGGGTCGCCTGGCTGCTTCGACAAAAGCGTACGAACACCGGCCGTTCAGGAGTTTTACAACACACGAAAAGACTTAACCCAGATAGCCCTCCCATGGAGTCAGGCGCATACCGAAAGACTTTAAGGACATTGACTCCATGGCGATTGAACTATGCGTATGGGATCTGAGCGCTATTCGACAATAATATGCCCTCAGATCCAGGCTATCTGGGGATATGTGATGCAAATGTGAAATGTTCGGTTGTTATAGAGTTATGTATTTTCATGTATTTTCTGGTCTTTTACTTAAAATGGCGATGGGTCTTTGTCCTGGAGATAATTGAATTACTTCCCAATTATCTCCAGGGCAGAGGGGAGGGAACCATACCTCATTGTGAGAAAAGCTGGTGACTGTATGTCTGATATGTCCTCCTGTACATCTGTAATTCCAGTCTCCCATTTGGTCCCCTAGGGGAGTGTCCACCAAGTGGGAGACCTGCATAAATACGGACAGGTAGACCACAGTAAAGCCAGATCCTGTTTGACCCTCAATGCGGAGCTTCTGCCTCGTTATTGGGGGGGACTTGTTATTTACGCCTAGAGACTGATTATTGGAACCGAAAGCCGCTTGGTGGATATCGTTGGTCGGTGGTTGGTGGTTGTTATAAATATATTTTCAGTTACTAAAAGCATATCACCGATTGATATAAACATAAATCCTATTGTTATTATCATGTCTATGGTTGCTATAAACACACTCCTGTTGCTATAAACATAGCTCTGGTTGCTATAAACATTAAGCTGGTTGCTATAAACATTTCACTAGGTATTAAAAACATTTCCTCAGTTACTAAATGCATATCGCCGGTTAATAGAAACATATCTCCTATTAATATTATCATGTGTCTGGTTGCTATAAACATATATCTGGTTGCTATAAACACACTCCCTTTGTTATAAACATACCTCTGGTTGCTATAAACATTAAGCCGGTTGCTATAAACATTTCACTGGTTGTTATAAATATATTTTCAGTTACTAAAAGCATATCACCGATTGATATAAACATATCTCCTATTGCTATTATCATGTCTATGGTTGCTATAAACACACTCCTCTTGCTATAAACATAGCTCTGGTTGCTATAAACATTAAGCCGGTTGCTATAAACATTTCACTAGGTGTTAAAAACATTTCCTCAGTTACTAAATGAATATCACCGGTTAATATAAACATATGTCCTATTAATATTATCACGTGTCTGGTTGCTATAAACATATATCTGGATGCTATAAACACACTCCTGTTGCTATAAACATACCTCTTTTTGCTATAAACATTAAGCCAGTTGCTATAAACATTTCACTGGGTATTATACACATTTCTGCAGTAACTTAAAGCAGATCACCCGTTCAAATAAACATATAACCTATAGCTATTATCATATCTCTGGTTGCTATAAACACACTCCTGTTGCTATAACCATACCTCTGGTTGCTATAAACATTAAGCCGGTTGCTATAAACATTTCACTGGGTATTATACACATTTTTTCAGTTACTAAAACCATATCACCGGTTAATATAAACATATCTCCCATTAATATTATCATGTCTCTGGTTGCTATAAAAATATATCTGGTTGCTATAAACATAATTCTGGTTGCTATAAACATTTCACTAGGTGTTATACACATTTCTTCAGTTACTAAAAGCATATCACTGGTTGTTATAAACATATCTCCTATTGCTATCATCATGTCTTTGTTTGCTATAAACATCTATCTGGTTGCTATAAACAAAATCCTGTTGCTATAAACATTAAGCCAATTGCTATCAACATTTCTCTGGGTATTATACACATTTCCTCAGTTACTAAATGCATATCACCGGTTAATATAAACATATGTCTGGTTGCTATAAACACACTTCTGTTGCTATAAACATACCTCTGGTTGCTATAAACATTAAGCCAGTTGCTATCAACATTTCACTACGTATTACACACATTTCTTCAGTTACTAAAAG